TTATTTCCTTAGGACCGGGATTTTCGTCCTAATTCAATAGATCTCCATTTTCATAGGAAAAAAAATTGATTTCTGATAAATTAGGATCAAAATCCCGGTCTTAAGATAAATTATAATCCTATGAACCCTTTTAGTTCTATGTTTGATATATATATATATATATATATATATATCTCACTTAGCGTCCTCCACACTTTAGATTTACTTATATAGTTATCTTAAAAATAAAAATTATGAAAACTTAAAACTTAACCCTATTTATACTTCTGTTTAAAATAGACTTTGTAATATAATATCCGTCGGCAAAGAAGTTTTCCTTTGGTATTTGTACACTTGGTGTATATACACACACATATTATTTTATATATATATATATATATATATATATATATATATATAGTGTGTGTGTCTGTGTAAATAAAAATAAGCTGACAATTTATAAGGAAAATATTTGCTTTTATAAATCACTCAGAGAACGAGACACGTTTGTTAAGTTTCCTTGTGTGTGTATATATATATACACAGCCACACGCACAATGGTTTATTATATATACCCTTGGGAAATACACCTCTGTTACCGCCAGGTATGGGTTCATTAGATTTGACACAGGATCATTATTTGGCCCCAAAATTTAGTACAATCTAAAAATATTTACTGGCTTTAAATAATTTGCAAAGGGTTATCAACCAAAGCTATAGAAAACACATCAATCATATATATATATATATATCACATTATGTATACACACACACACACACACATATATATATATATATATATATATATATATATATATATATATATATATATATATATATATATTATGTACACACACACACATATATATATATATATATATATATATATATATATTACATTATGTATATACACACATATATATATATATATATATATATATATATATATTATATCACATTATATATATACACACATATATATATATATATATATATATATATATATATTATATCACATTATGTATATACACACACACATATATATATATATATATAATGAAATTATTTTTCATGATATTTGTGCATGTATGTAAGGCTATAGGCATAACTATATTAATAACACTTGCCATTCTCATACACCAACTACTGTTACTACTATTTCCAGACCTATTACCATTTCTATAAGCCCTATTACAGACAGGCTATTCGTAATAACACGACATTGGATTAACAGGGTTTGTTTGGGTTTTTTTTTTTCAATTAATAATAATGTTATTTTTATGCACTTAAGGATTGTAGCGCTGTATGTACTTTCTTGTATGTATCCACTTAAATCAGGTGTTTGAATGTTTCGCTACAAGCGCGTTGGAGTTTAAACTTTCGGTAATTTTTTTTTTCTTCCACCGGTCGGCTTCTACCGTCGAAGCTTCCGTAATTCTATTCTTACACGACCAACTGTCTAACAGATGTGAATTGAGTAATATATATATATATATATATATATATATATATATATATATATGTTTTTTTTTCTTTAACGTAATTCATTAATCTCCCATGTTATGATTTCGTTTGCCTGGTAAGCTGCTTTGGTATTTCGACGAAAATGAAATATTCGTTTTAATGAACACGTGCGTATAGCTTTCCATTTTTTTTTCCTTTTTTCCAAGTTCTGCACTCAGTGACACGATTCGACTCATACTATTTAGTTTCTTTTTTTTGTTTTTTGATTGACGCGTACGCAATCTATTAACGTTAAACAGGTCCAAGGATTTTTAAATTGTCTATTGCATGAAATTCATTGAAAGGCATTTTATATTAGTCAATTGGTATATATCTTTTTATATATATATATATATTTTTTTTTTAATATCGTACATGTTTTTATTTAATACTTAGATCTACAACTACTAACGTGAGCGTACATATATATATATATATATATATATATATATATATATATATATATATATATATATATATAAGCAGATTGGTATACATGTATAATTTTTCTTAGATTTGTAATTTACAAAGGCAGCTTAGTAATATATATAAGTTTCTTAGATTTGTAACTTAAAAAGTCAGCTTTGTGTGCGTGTATATACAGTGTAACCCGGATATAAGAGATTTTCTCTGGTCCCAAATTAGAGCCTGTGTTAATGTATATAAAATAGACCAAACCCGATATAAGAGACTTCTTCCCGGTCCTGACAACTCTCTTATATCCGGTATATATATATATATATATATATATATATATATATAAAGGAGAGTAGATGGCGTTTCATTTTTTTTTTTAAAACCAAAATTATAAAAAAAAAAAATTCCCTTTTTTTAAACAATCCTGAATTGTGATTTAAATATAATTTATTTAAGCGTACCATACTAAGGAAAAATTAACTTTGCTTTTATTTTGATAGATTTCTCGGATACTTGGTCTACTCTATATTAAATAAGGATTGTGTAGCTGTGAGTAAAACGACGATTTCACTCGGTGGATAGAAAGAACGCTGCACTGTTGTTTACGGACGGACAATGGGGAAAGTAATTATATTCCGTAACACAACAAAGATGTTTACCATCTCCAAGTCAAACTTGTCGTGTGGATATACCATAACTCCAAGACGAACGGATTTAGGTGAGACAACGCGTTTTAATTATTATTCTTTAATTTTTGCTTATCCTTCCTTATTATCAATCGTTGTTAAGCGGCATCCCATCATTCCTTGAATTGGTTTTAATATAAAATCTGACGTTTTTTTTCGTTTTCTTTTCCAAATACATGCCTTAAAAAAAATACATCGAGCCAATTTTTTTTTTTATTGCTCTTAATTTTTTTCTTTTTTTTTTGACGTTTTGTCCAGCAAATCATTAGCTCAGCCTTCAGACATGATGTACTTCACTTGTCATCGTTTTCATTATGATCGAGGTTTAAAATTATTTCCCCCTGCACCTCCCTATCTGCGAAATACGACTTCAATTATTTGTACGTTTCTTAATGTTTTTTTGTTATATACGAAAAGAATGTTTTTTGTTGTTTTTCTATAAAGCTAGGCATGTTTCACTGAGGTGGGTGGGTCGAACGACGCCCCAACAGAATTGGTGACTTTAAATAAACAATACTTTGTTCTTTATTTTTGTCAAATACTGCTTACATGTTTTGTTTTGTTTTGTTTTTTTTGTTTTTTTCCAAAATGGGATGTTCTTCCGTTATTTATTTATTTTTTTTTTTTTTTGAGATTTTTTAATGTAAAACATTTTTATGATTAGTGTCTTCGACGAAAACAAGAACGTCGCGTTTACTGTAACTTGGTTGTATAGTCCGTCTACGTCACGCCTGCAA